GGCCGATCCAAGCACACATCTCAAAGAATATCTAACGACCAAAAAATTGCATGATGCAGACCACGAAAATCTGTCGACAGCTAGTTAGCAAATCCGATAAAACTAACCAACCCAAACCACAATCATCCTCTCAGAATCATACTCCACACACGGTATCGGTCCTGAGCCTATCCACAGTCGTCCTCTCATAACAATACTCCACCACGGTATCTGTTCTGAGACCATCCACAGTCCTCCTCTCAAAACGATACTCAACCACGGTATCTGTTCTGAGACCATCCACAGTCGTCATCTCAAAACGATACTCAAATATGTATTCGTTATAAGACAATCAAGCTTGCTACCGTGCAGAAGGATAATACCTTTTCAAATATTCCCACTAAGAGCTTTAGCCAACCTTTTCTTCGCCTGCATAGACTGAACAAAATATAAATTTTAGGGATAGTTTTTACAATTTTATACGGACCTTCCCAACTTGATGACCACATGCCAAACTTACTACTTCTAACACCAACGGACAAAATAGTTAGCCATGCTAACTTTACCTATTTGAAACGATTTTCCCCTTATTTTCTCGTTATAAGCATTAGCTACTCTAAACTAATCAAAACCTACACACTAATTTTAAAACAAGCCATCTACAACTCCGCGATATAATTTGTCATCCAATAAAACATACCTGTCGCCGAACTTTTCTATCTCTAATTTCATTCGGGTTTCTACATAATCAACAAATGGATCCCTCCAAACACTCGGCTCAAACTTTCCTATTGATTCGGTTGTCCCTGATGACCTCCGTACCGAATCTTTCTAAACATGCTGAAATCCCCTGGACCGAACTAGCAATACCCTGCTCGGTCTTTTCTGTAATCAACCCACCAGCCAACAGTGTGTATATGAACACCACTACCATCAACTGCAGCATGCGTGACCCCAGCCAAACAAAAATGCAGACCATCAGGAACACCGTCGTGAAACATAAAATTGACACATTGCTACAACCACACACGTGATGCACCACACTACCTCCACCTAACAAACCGGCCCGCATAGATTTATTATACGAACCAACACAGCTAATTATAGCCGGTTTATCCACTATAAAACACACCTCGACTTAGCTATATGATGGACAATTAAGGCTATAGCAATTTAATTAAATCTAAGCATCGGTCGAAATAATTATTTAGCAGTCCGTCAAAACACTGAAACTTCCTATTACTCTGTCGGACTATTAAAAGTAAATCATCGAAAACTACATCCCACACACACCCACATAGACCAAACTCTGCAAACCGAATATAAAGTCTCGTACTCGGTCTAAAGTGCAAGGATATTCTAAAGAGACCAATAGGGACCGATGTGTCATAAGCAAAATTACTTGGTGAAATCAAAACAGTACAACACCTTCCCCACTTGCACAAAATATGACCAAAATAAACTCTATTGAATAATATATAAATACAAGAATCATAAATATCTCTAGCACCTAATTATTTCAGTCTCTAAAAATGATAACAACACCTACAACTAATAGTCAAGATGCAAAACTATATGGTAACATCCCTCCATAATATAAAGACTCGTATGATATCCAAGAATTATAATAAGGCCAAGACATAGGCCTCGGTTGCATAGGTGAAGAATATATATATAATATGGTGGCGAAGGAACCTGATGATTAAATTCAAACCATTGATTTGGCGCATACCTCCTAACTCCCTTCTCATTATTTGCCTCCACTTCAACTTTAACATATGTTTCATTCTGCACCTGAACACTTCCTTTATGATCCCATGCCATACCTCTCTAACTCAGCTTTTCTGCACTAAGCTTGTGAAGCCGCTGCTTCTGCCAATTTGATAAGATGTGTGAGTATCTCGGCTGGCTGCCATAGCCCCTCGAGCTCTTCGGTGGATTCTGACTTGATACTAACTCTGCCGAAGATGCCTCTCGTTCATACTCACGTGATGTAAAGTTTCTAGTTGTTGTACACATGCATACCCCCAAGTTCAACAATCTTTTTCTAAACTGAAGCCTTTTGTACACACGTGCACCAGTGGCTAAGCCCTTTTCTTGACCTCTAGACTTCGGCACCCAGATTTGCTTTCTTGTTGAACTACCTCCCACCTGTGCCGAAGATTTCTTCCTGCTAGACCACCTAGACCGATTTCTTTTATCAAAACGGTCATCCTTGGCATATGACTTTCTTGGAGTTGCAAAATGCAATCGGCCTTCATTAATAGCCTATTGTATTTTCTGACGAAAAATATTACAAACTCTGGTACAATGATCGAACGAATTGTGCCCCTTACAATAAATTCGTTCTTTTAAATCCTGAAGTAATGGCATGACATGGTGATCAAGTAATTTAATATAACTATTTTCAACAATGCATCAAAAATATGATCACACATGGTCAAGTCAAAAGTATACTTATTCTCCTCTAGCCGACACTTTTGTGGAGATGGTTTTAAAGCTAACAAACGAATGGTTTGGATTTACTATCTATCCATTCGGCTACACAATTGTTTATATTTCCCTTGTCTAGCGATTTAGAGTTATCCACTATATTAGCACCAGCGTCATTAATATCTTCCAATTTTAGTTTTGTGCCTCTAGCTCTAGATTGATCGCAAGCAAACCATGTAGACATAAACTTTGGCAATGATGATATAGAAAATTTAAACACTTTATTATTGCCAACAAGAATATTAATCTCCCCAATCGATCCCTTCGAATTATTCATGGTGACATTACTAATGTATAAGTTATTTTTAGATGGTTGATCAAATTGGGAAATAAGCAAATTACCTGTGGATGTTACCTTATCTAATTTGTTGGAGAAGCATCATGGTGATTTATTTACTTGAACAATGTCATGCTTAGCCATATGATGGCCCTCCAACGTCTTCTCCGTGTTCTCAAGGACTCGTGCTCCATCGATTTGATGCTCATCAACTTCCTTGGCGCGAAATTCATCTGGTAGAACAAAAGGTTCTTCAATTTCAGAAAACTCAAACACATGTACCATTTTTTTCTTAGTCGATAATTCTACATTATTCGGCTTTTGTTCTAGTACAAAAGTTGGTTCAGACCTTTTATTTAAAACACAAACATTCAACCTCTTCATCATGTCTCTATATATTTCTTCTTCAAGGTTCTTTCTCTTGAAACTAAATTCCTCACGAAATTGGTCCATAGCCGAACTTGCTAATTTAATGTCATCATTTTGAAGCCTATGTTTGGCTTTATGCATTGTTGGTTGTACATATGACCCATTCTGTTGAAAACTATTTACATTTGATTTCGGCAATGAAGAATGAGTAATGCTCGGTGAAATTTTGGGGAGTTACATGCATGCTCGGTGAATTGTCATTAATTCGGCTATAACTGTTGGTAGAATAACAAGCTGAATTATGAACACTGCCATTATAGTCTATTATATTGTGACCCACTTCACCAGCTTCCAAAAAAACGACAATAAAATTAATGCTCTAACTGAGACCATGTATGAATAGAATTTGGCATAAGCGTGACAAACCAAATAAGAGCAGCACCAGACAATGATAGGGGAAATAATCTTAACTTCAAAATATCATTAGAGTTGGCTTCACCACAATGCACGAGAAACTGTCCCATGTGTTCTATTGCAGTCCTACAATCTTTTCCAGTAAATTTAACAAAACAAGGCACATAGGGACCTAAATCAAACTCATCAGGATATGGCTTTTGGTATGTACCTGCTCTTCCCATAAGCTCTATCCAGAAGTGCTCCATTGTTATACTAGCCAATCGATCATATGTTTGAACATGCAAAGTATTTGGGGAAACATATAGTGGCTCAGAGTAACTGACTAAATGACTAACATATCCATACCCATTATTCATCGGCATACTTTGTTTTGTTGTCATAGATTGTGAAATAATTGTCGATGAATTAAAAGGTGCGTGTACATATTGTATATTGCTGGTATTATCAAAATTTAAAGCATGTGAATTACTTTGCATAGCCTGTGACATATTATTTTCATAATTTAAAGATTTCAAATAATTATTTGAACAATCATTAGCCGATGTAGTATATTCATTGAAATTAGATCTAGCCACATCTAAATGAGAATTTGTGGCATTTACAAAATTATTTTGAGGAGCAGATATTGTATTTATAAATTGTACCTCGCAATTAATATAGGAAGGTGACAGCGCACTGGTACGTCCCCATATATTCTTCAGCAAGCTTTGACCTTTCCTGGTGAATTGATCTGCCTGAAATACTTCTGTCCTCCGTCAGCGTGTGCATGCAGGAGCTACTTCCTGTCCCTGCAAAAGACAAACTAAGGCCGAGTTTAGTTATAAACTTTATCTTTAAATTTTTAATTTTTTTCATCACATCAAAACTTTTCTACACACACAAACTTCCGACTTTTCCGTCACATCGTTCCAATTTCAACTAAACTTCTAATTTTGATGTGACCTAAACACACCCTAATCCTCGCTACCCGTGCCCTCACAACGTGCACATATCCTGTTCTTCCCAACCCCCAGCCGATCAGATTATTCGGCCAAAAAACAAATGCAACAGCTGCAGCCGGCGATAGCGAAATTAAACCGGGGAGAATAAAATAGATAAGTATATCGATTTCGGTCTAATCAAGCAACCGAAATTCTTATCCTAGCGGAGTCACCAAAATTTGTTGACCGACCGGATTGCCACGTCAATACCACGTCAGATAAAGATCAAGTTAAATTAGCCACGTAGACGTCACGTCTGCCAAAACCGCTATCTAAACCACCGAGGAACTTCATCTGCACAGGTTTTAATAGTTGAGAGACCCGTTGTATCTGGGTTTTTAGTTGAAGGACGAAAGTCGAATTCGTTGACAAGTTAAGAGACCCCGTATGAACTTATTACCCGCAGCGGCCGGCGCAGCGTGAATCCCCAACGGCCCAAATCTAACCTGGTCCGTGGGCTCATGTGTAAGATGGTCGACTGGCCGGCACCGGGGCGGCAGGGCGCAGGGGGGAGAGAGAGAAGCGACGAGTTTCGAGTGGACGCGGCGGGGCGCCGCCACTGCACGAATCCCCATGATCTCATCAATGCCCTCGTTGAACTCCACCTCCGACCAAAATACCCACTAGAATAATCCGACCCAATCTCCCCCGTCGGCCCGTAGGATCCCTTGGCCCTCTTGCGCGCGCCTCCCTCGGATGAGTCCCCATCCGCCGCGAGACCAGGATCGTGACGCGCGTGCGGGGCACATGGTGGTGCCTGGTGGCAGCGGCGGTGTTGCCATGACCCATTCACCCCCTTCCCTTTGAACCCATCTGCTTCGCTTTTATTGGTAGATGTGTTTTATGGTCAGACCGTCCATGGAGATTCTTGGATTCACTGTTATGGTTGTTGCCTTTGCTCTTCCCTTCTGTTCTTCCTATCTAGGAGAGGAAAACGTCTGTTCTCTAATGGCGGTTTGGTGTTTAGGGTGGCGGCTCGCCGGCGTGGATCGAGGTGCCGGAGAAGAGCAAGAGCGCGTTCTGGGAGCTGATGAGGAGGAAGGTGCACCGGTACGTGATATTCAAGATCGACGACAGGAGGGAGGAGATCGTCGTCGAGAAGACCGGCGCGCCGTGGGAGAGCTACGACGACTTCACGGCCTCGCTTCCGGCCGACGCCGTCTACGATCTGGATTTCGTCAGCGATGACAACTGCAGGAAGAGCAAGATATTCTTCATCTCCTGGTTAGTCTTTCTTTGCCCCTGTTTCTCCTCGCTTTCAGCTTCACTTTTGGGGGCTTTGGGGTGGCGACTTGCTTGCTGTCTCGTTTCAGTTTCAGTTTTTTGTGGTAACTCAGAGCTGGTTAAACAGTTAAATTCAGTACATTGTGAGTTTGTGACCTATCAAATGAGATATTGTTACACATTTCTTATTCATAGGATAAATTGGAGTACTCCAAATACGAACAACAGACCCTTTCCCGTAAAAAATAAAAATAAAAAAAGACCCTTTATTGCAAGGATATATATATACAAAGCCACATATTTACTCAGCAGTTTGACTAATGACATGTTATCCAGTGAGATGTACTGGAGAACTGCAGGGTCTGTTGTTTTCAGTAGTTACTCCAGTTTGACTAATGACATACTCATGTGTAGTGATAAACAACAGACCCAGTTTGACTAATGACATATGTGTAGTGATAAACAACAGACCCTTTTATTGCAGTATGTTTCAATCTCATCCATCTATCCACTTAGTTCCTCATAAACTGGAGTGAACTGTGAAGTTATTTCATAGCAACAGTTACTACTTGTGAGGATCTGGCCTCATGTTCAAGTGTTCATAGATTCTTCATGGTACAGAACAACTGAATTTTTGTTTCAAAGTTCTTCAATTGTATGTGACGAAAAAAAAAATTGCAACCAAGTTCTTAGAACGTCCCCATATTACGGGTGCTCCTTTTCTTTTCAGGTCCCCTTCCCTTTCCTGCATCCGAGCCAAGACCATATACGCTGTGTGGAGGAACCAATTCCGGCATGAGCTTGACGGTGTTCACTTTGAGATTCAGGCCACGGACCCTGATGACATGGATTTGGAAGTTCTAAGGGGCCGAGCTAATAGAACCTGATAGAGGTTGACTTCGATAGTTTGTTAGCCTTCTTTTGCATAACTTGAATATGTAGCTCGCTGCTGAAAATGCAGCTCGGGTGCACTGATGTGAGGCATGAATGCATGATGTATAAGCAGGCTGCTGATCACACCCCAGCATTTGCAGTTTTTACCTTTTTTTTTTTTTACTGAGATAGCATCTTTCTGATATCTCTATCTAATTATATATTTTACACTCTAATATGATGTGGAAACTGTGCCTTGTTATATCTAAATCTGTAATATACTGTCTGTCTTTCTGCTGTTTTTTTTTGAGGAAAAACCTCAGAAGAGGTCAGGGAGAGCCTGTTTTCATTAAAGAAGAAGAGACTTGACCCAGGTTTTGAGGGGAAACCGGGCCCAAAAACCTTACATAAGCACGGTTTAAAGGGGAAACCGGGCAAAACCCACAAGGAGAACAAAGAAAAAACTTGCGACGGCACAACTGGAGGAGAACATAGCTCATCAAAGCCAAAAACTCCGACTTCCTATGAACAGACCACAGACAACGTAGAGCAGGGTCTTCAAGACGAAGCCTCCAAGGAGGAAACAGAGCGTCGAAACGCAAGCAACGTCCGTCCGAAAATCGGAACAGGGTTTTCACCCGAAGAAAACGGGTAGAGCAAAGAACGATGCCTTCAACAAGGAAAACGGCGCCCACAGGCGTCGCCATCGTTGCCTCTATCCTAAGAACGAGCAGGACAAAACGCCCCGGCTCGCTCTCCCTGCCAACTACGACACCCCTGGCTTCCACAACGCTACCAAGGAAAGCGGGAGAGGGTTATCGTTGCCGAGCTTGTCACCTACAAGCAGCTCCGACTCCCCCCAACACACCTACCCAAAGACACGCCAGGAAGCCAACAGCACAGCCACCCCAACGAAGCTACCAAAAAGAAGGGGCAAGGGGGTTATCGTTGCCCAGCTTGCCACACCCGGCCAAGCAGCTCCGACTCCACCCCAAACACCATCGACAGGTTGCGTCGTAGGGATTTCATGCACCAACTCCACCAAACCAAACACCTCGCAGACGCAAGAGAAGCTAGGCACATGCAGTGCTGAGGCTCTCGAACTCCAAGCAAATCTGCCAACCCAGCTAGCAACCCGCCCCTCGCCAAGGAACTCCCCACAACCGGAATCTGAGAGCAGACCGGTCAACAGGAGGGGAGGAGCTCCAGGAACGGGAGGAGCCCCAACTGATCATGGGACATGCCGGCGAACAAGCCACCGACAACACTATTGTTCACCGTGCCCTACGGCTTTCCAAACGAACGAGCCATAGTAGCGACCGCCCGACCAACCCAAGCACAACCTCCCTGCAGGCCAGCAACTTCTCCGGCCACCTCGACACCCTCTTCGCCGGCAACAACCACCTCCGCCGGTCACCAACTTGCTTACCTCCGCCGGCCACATGCATCTTGCCCAAACTGGGCTCCACCTACGCCGGCTAGCACCGGCGCACCGCCTCCACCGGCCATCACCATCGCAGACCGCTGGCCGCCCCTTCCCCTCCGGCCTTCTTCCGAGCACTGGCGCCGGTCTCACCTTCACCACCCCGCCGCCATCACCCCCACCCCGACGACCTCCAGATCCAGAAAGGAGACGGCCGGATCTGGCCGTCCCCTCCGTCTCCGGCCTTCAACTTCCTCCCGCCGTCTCCAAGGAGCTGCTGCTCTTCGTCGTCCCACCCCGCCGCCGTCGCTAGAGTGACTCGCCGTCGGGTCGCCGCAGCCACCACCGAACGCCGACCGACCTCCCCGCGCAGGACCGGGCCCGCCGTTCCACGGCAAACTGCCCCGCCGCCGCCGTCCTTGCACACTGAGCCGAGGCCCGGCCGCTCCGGCAGCGGCGGGGTGGGGGAGGGAGAGGGAAAGCGGCGGCGGCGCTAGGGTTGACGCCCGCCCGGTCGCTCACGCGGGGAGCGACGCGGACGGTCCTCTCAATTAGCGACGTCTTTCTGCTGTTTGATCTTGATCAGCTTCTGGTTTGGTTTGAGTGTTTTCACTTCTGAATCATCACTCGTGGGTTGTGAATCGTGATTTCTGATTGTTATTTTTTTTTTCCTTCTTCGGTATTTTTTGTCACGCCCGGAATTTCTATCCAAAATTCCAAACGCTTACATGTGTAGAAACCCTCGTCCAGGAGTCAACCGAGGTACACAATAACAAATTGATAATAGAGTACAATTATTACTCTAAATAATAAGCGAATAAAATGTCATTACAGAGGTAGATAGTTCCTCTCAATCAATAAAGTTCTAAGCAGCGGAAAATAAAAGAAACAGCGCAGGCGACTCCTCTCCACAGGCAGCTTGACCAGGGCTACGCCTAATCATCCACACCATCAGTATCGCTGTAGAACTCCTCCTCTGATGAATGATTGCAAGGTGAGTATATGACATACTCAGCAAGCCACGCAGCAAATATGCAAGTGCACAGGATAACAAAGGATGGCATAGTATAGTCTCATTTGCATAAACATCATTTAATAAATATTTCAGAATTTAATAAAACAGTTAAATAATAATTAAACAATATTAATCCATCGCTATACAACATACCCTGTTGCATAGGCCCAACCATTCTGAACAACCAATCCCGGCTGCACAGATCTATCTCCAAACCAGGAATTAACCATTTCAAACCAGGAGTTAAACAAGTTATTAACATCATCCATTAATAGGGTGTAAAGAGTGAGACTAATCACGAAAGACATTGTTAGACCCGCCCATAACCGCGGGCACGGCTATTCGAATAGTTTAAACTCTGATCAGAGGTGTACCACTGTACCCACAAGACACAATCTCAACATCATGTCAACCATGCGTCGCGATACTTGACAAGTACCCGAATAGAGATTGTGACAATACCCTCTATATAATACAATTCAAAGCAGTGCACCGTTCCCGGATCATAATCACCCCCTTATAAACAAGGTATGGACTCCCCAGCGACCCCCGTGGGCTTATCTCCGCCACTTCATAGTCTGGTGCTCTACTATGAACCATACTATACAGAAAGTAAAGCCGTTGCCCACGCTGGCTTGTGGTTGGCACGGTAAATGTTTCACAACCGAAAATCGTGAACCGGTCCTTAATTGTTATGAGCACAACCATCAAAACCATATGCTCACAACCCACCGTTATCACATTTTAGTTGTCAAATTAATTAATTAACCAATCATGATTAACCATCATGAGCTAACATTAAACCATCATTAAATAATAGTGAATCATAACTTATCCCATTAGTGTGCTAATGTTTCTAAGCATGGCTAAGCAATTTTGTCTAATATATGGCTGAACCATTATGTAAAGCTCAACTAGTCAACTTATAATAGCCCAAGGTATCAAGGAATAAAGTAATCAAGAACAAAAGGGCCATAACAAACAATAGGTTAATTCCACCCCATTACATTCGAAAATAAATGCAATAGTTGAATAGAAAAAATAGCTTTAAATAGGATCAACATGCTCAAAGGGTTGTTTGGGATCTGTGTGACTTGCCTTGCTGGCCTTGGAATTCCTCAAAGTCTTCTCCTGCAAAATCGGACTCTCCGGGAACGTCGGAATCTAAAGAGAAAAGAACAAAATCACCAAAACAGCACATAAACAAGCATGAACAGTACATGTGGATATTTTTAACATGTAGATCTCAATTTTAGAAAAATTTAGAGACTTGAACCAACTAAATCCGAGCTAAGATGAATTAGTTATGAATTTTCAAAGATTAAATCGATTTAAATCATTTATATGGATTTTAATTGAATTATGACGCAATAATGAATTATTTTTGAAAAGGAAAAAAGGGGTTTATTGCGTCAGCGGGGCGATTTACGGTGGACCGGGTGCACGGCGGCGGTTCACGAAAACGGACGGCCGAGATCTATCCTATCCACAACGGACGGCCGAGATCGATCGATCCACGACCGGACCACGGGAGACGATGACGATGACGTCAGCGGTGACGTCACCACCGGCGGCCAGGGATCCCGGCGCCGCTGGCCGAGGGACGCATACAGGGCCTCGATGCTTGCCTCGTGGTGGTCTACTTCTCCACCCTTCGCGGATAGAACAGACAACGGCAGTGGCTTGATGAGCCAGTGCTTAGTGGCGGCGACCGACAGGGAGGCGTAGATAGAGGTGGCGAGGAACAGCGGCGGCGCGGCGGTCACAGGCGTGCGAAGCGAGGCAGCAGCAGCAGCGCCACGGTGACTCCTAGGCGGCGTGGCGGTCACAGGCATGCGAAGCGAGGCAGCAGCACCACCACTGTGATTCCTAGCCTAGCGCTAACACTCGCTATGCCAAAACTCGGCGCAAAGAAGCAAAAGTTCCCACCTTCCTACTCTATCAATATGAACTTCGCACTGTGTGCGGTTCAAAAAAAAGTTCCACCTTAGGGCATGTACAACTGAAGCCACCCCTAGAGTGCCCCACTAACTAAGGACACTCTCTGGGACACTCATCTCCCAATGTAGAATACCCTAGATGGGTTCCCTAAAATCTGAAGCAACTTGGTGGAGATACTACAGCACACAACGGGTGTCCTAGCCTACGAAGCCCCATGCATATTTTTACTTCCCTACCCCTCCACCGCACAAATTCTCTCTCTCTATTGTTTTTCGCCGCCGCCCCTCTTATCTTTTTTCTTCACCTCTCGCTCTCCCTCTCGCCGCCACCGCTCTCTCTCTCTCTCCCTCTCGTGGCGGCCACAGGGGCGATGAGGGCTGCCTCCCTATCTCACCCTCGCATCGCGTCATCGCAGTCCTCCCCGGCCTCCTCCGCCTCGCGCCGTCACCGGTCGAGGGCGGCAAATCCGGCGTCGTCGCTCCCTCCTCGCCCTCCGCCGCCGCAGCCGCTCGCCTCTCTCCCTCTCTCCGTCTCTCTCCCGCCGTCCGCCTCTCGTCGCCGGCAGCCAGATCCACCCCGCTCGTCTCTCTCTCATCGCTCGTCGCCGGCAGCCGGATCCGCCCCGCCCCACCCCGCCGCCTAGCGAGATGGTCCATCTCAGCGTCATCCCGGCCACGGTGCGCCGAGGGGCGCGGTGGCCGTGCGAGGATGCAGAGGACGCCATCCCGGCGGTGGTGGTGGGCAAGATGATGGAGGCCGGCTGCAACGGCGCCAAGGCCACGGGTGCTCGCCGCTAGCGAGGCAGATGGCACTCGAGCTGCTCAAGTCGTTGTCGCCATCGTCTCCGGCTCTTGTCCACCACCATAGGCTTCCGCAACCAACGATGAAGCAAATACTAGTGCGGGAGTGTGAGGACTAGGCACGACGTCGCCCTTTGCGGAGCTCTGGCTCCGTGGCTTGGTGAAAAGGAGAAGAGGAGCACAGGGATGCACGTCCCTTAAGAGATGACGCACCTCTCTGCTGGGGGACGACCCCAGCTCAAAAAGGGACGGAAGGCCAATGGTGTGCGTCGAGGCTACGACCCAAATACACGCATTGAACATGACCTTACGTATCCCAGCCCCTCCCAGTTGCTTTGCTTCTGCTTTTCTAATTCCGCTGGTGACACCCCTGTAATGAAAAGAATAACGTGCAATCTGACATTTCCTGATCAACATCAATCCATGAGCAAACTCACTTGCACCTTAAGAGCATCTCAGCAGCCCATCCAAAATTGATCCTTCATATACCCATATGGATGGCCGTAAAAAGGAAAAAGTATACTTTGACTCCCTCAACTATAGCCCGAGTATGATTCACGTCCTCCAACCACAAAACCGGGTATATCATCTCCTCCAACTATCTATAGCCCGAGTATGATTCACGTCCTCCAACCACAAAACCGGGTATATCATCTCCTCCAACTATCAAAACCGGTGCAAACAATGTCCCTCAGTGGTTTTGGCTAACGTGGCGCCTACATGGTGGTCTTGACCGAGTCTTTGTCCTACGTGGCACTTACGTGGCATTAGAATAAAAACAAAAATAAAAAAATATGTGGGACCCATATGTCGTTTACACACAAAAATAAGTATTGTGGGACCCACATGTCATCCTCCCTCATTCCCTTCTTCCTCCCCCTCTCTCTCCCTTATCTCTCTCTCCCTTATAGCTCTCAGCAGCGGCGGTGGGCCTGTAATGCCCTAGAAAAAAATAGAATACCGTAGAAGATATATTGGAAGTATGTAAGGTTTTGGTGTTTGAATTAGAAGAAAAACAATAGGTATATGCTTGCTGAGATTTATTCTCACCCCCTTATAGTCTTTTCAGGTACTTGCTGTGACATGTTTGCATGAAGGGATGGGATTAGCTACACTGTCGCACGACATGATCTCACTTAGTCATGATTGTTGCCAAGATTACTTGTGTTTAGACATAATGGGTTAATTAAATACTAGAGTTGCTGGCCATTGATTATCTACTTTTCAAAGGCTATCCCTATATGTCAGTCAGTTGTTGTATCATAAACTTAATCTATATGTTGATGCTTCCGCAATGTTTTCTTGTCTAAGGTAGTTGTTGCCGAAATTTGCTTGTTTTGGCACTTTTGTATGGTTGTTTAATGGCATCCCAGGCTTATGTGGTTTTCTGGGGTGTTACAGGGCCAGTGGCTGTGGCGGTGGGGATGAGGTGGAGGAGAGTGGTGGCGGCAGTGGCGGTGGGGAGCGGCAGTGATGGCGGTGGGGTCGAGGCAAAGGTCGGGGAGCGGTGGCGGCTGTGGCGGTGGGGAGCGGCAGCAATGGGAAGCGGCGGCGGTGGGGATGAGGTGGAGGGGAGCGGCGGCGGCTATGGGTGTGGGGAGCGGCGGTGGGGAGCGGAGGTGGGGAGCGGCGATGGCTATGATGGTTGGGAGCGGCGGCGGTGGGGATGTGGCGAAGGGGAGCGGCAGCAGCTGTGGGTGTGGAGAGCGGCGGCGGTCGGGGAGCAGTGGCGACTGTGGCTGTGGGGAGCGACGGCGGTGGGGACAAGGCGAAGGGGAGTGGCGGCGGCTATGGCTGTGGGGAGCGGTGGAGGGTAGTGGTGGCGGTGGGGACGAGGCGGTGTGGAGCGGCGGCGTTGGCGCAAGCACGAGCACGAGCACGGCGGTGGTGGCGCAAGCACGAGCTCCTCCCCGAAGGACGCTGTCCTCCTCCTCTGCTCTCCTCCGCCGCATCCTCCCCACAAACCACCTCTTCAGCCTTCTCCTCCTCCTTCGACCGCCGCCACCGCCACTCCTCACCGCCACCGCCGCCACCGCTCCCCTCGGCCTCGTCTCCACCACCACCGCCCGCGCTCTTGAGAGCTATAAGGGAGAGAGAGGTGGAGGAGGAAGGGAAGGAGAGGGAGGATGACATGTGGGTCCCACAATATATTTTTTTTAATGACATCGGGGTCCCACATATTTTTTTTATTTTTGTTTTTACTCTAATGCCACGTAAGCGGCACGTAGGACAAATACTTGGTCAAAACCGCCACGTAGGCGCCACGTCAGCTAAAACCACCTCCAAAACCACCTAGGGATATTGTTTGCACCTATTTTGATAGATGGAGGAGTCGATATACCCGGTTTTGTGGTTGGCGGATATGAATCATACTGATAATAGTTGAGGGAGTCAAAGTATACTTTTTTCCCTGTAAAAAAGGCCTAGCATCTTTCCTTCCACTCCTCGTTATTTCAGGCCCATTGGTCCAATAGCAAACCAAAGCCCAAATTTTCATTAACCCTAAGTCCCTTGCTCCTTCCCCTCCCCATTCCCAACTGCCCCGTCCACCTCCTCCCCCGCTCTCTCTCTCTCTCGACAGGACTCGAGTCGGCAGCGCCCAGCGGGAGGACGCGCTGCCGCCGCCCGTCAGTCCGAGGCCGATGCGCCGTGCGCCGTGCGCCGGTGCCGTGACGTCGCCCTGCGGCCCCGCGCTTCCCGCCCGCCCCCTCGCCCTGCGGTCCGCGTCGCGCCGCCGCTGCGCCCCGTGACGCCGGCACAACGCCCGCCCGCCCGCCCGGGCCCAGCGTCGGCGCGCCGCGCCACCGACCAGACCACCGTCCCGGCGTCCTTAGCCAGGTAAGGTTACTAACATGATTTGGTTCTCTCCAGTATCTATCTCATGTTCACTTGCCAGACAACGGATAGTGCAATGCAGTGACTTTTAACTTGTGACTTTGTCTGAAGAACCTAGCTTGGAAGCTGAATGTAGTGCTGTGAATCCCGTGATTTTGGATTAGGATTTATGAACATTTTTTTCTATTTGAATCCAGGGATGGTTGATTGATTGCATATATTTGAACAAATGATCTTTGAAACTTGTTATTAACTTATTTGTGAAGAGTAGCAGATTTAGTACTTAAATTGCAGTGTACATATTTAGCAGAGTTAGCATGGTCAGTACTTAAACCGAAAGACCATATTGTTCATTTTCAAAATATCAAGAAACGGGAAGTTCTTCTCTAAATTGTAAGATTTCTTATCGTTTTGCCATTTTCAATCCTCTATAAATTTGACATGTTTTATCAATTAGTAGTATGGGCATATTACTAGTGGACTTAAGTGGTAGGGTCTATATAGAAAAAGTGCTAGGATCGACGGATAGAAACTTCACGTATACCGTTATCCGTGATACTTCTCATACAAAAATCACACACTAGAGTCTCTCGTGCAAAACTGGCCGTGACGCATTTCAACCTCTTGATCTGAACTGCCTAATGACGATCCAACGGTATATCTATCAGAGTATGGAACCACTTCATTTCCCACTCCTAAGTCCTAACCCTGATACTCGCAGAAGGGTGAGAAAGGCGGTTAGCTCTAAAGAACGCTGCCGCAGCGAGAGCGGAGACATGGCGGCGGCGCTCTTGCCGGAGACGGCGCCGAGGCTGCTGACGCCGGAGACCATCCGTGCGGCGGCCAAGCAGTCCCAGGGCATCCAGCTCGTGCCCCTCTCCCTCCGCCGCGCCATTAAGCGGTACCTCCGCGGTAACGCCCTGCACTACTCCCTCTGCCACGTGCACCACCTGCTCGACGAATTTCTTCGACATCACTGACGACACTTGCACGCTTGACGCACAGACCAGGACAAGGCGCACATGAACCGGAAGGTGCTTCAGCTCTCGGCCTCCTTCGAGCGTGCAAAGGGAACCGGCACCGAGCTCGCTGCGGCTGCCATGCGCGGCGCTCTCATCGACGATCCGCGCGCGCCCTCAGGCGCCGAGCAGCGGGCCGCGCGGTGGAAGGTGCGGTCTGCCTATGGAGATATCGGCCTTCGGTACCGCGAGGACGAGACGGTCGCATACGTTGCCTCCCGGATGCCAGCCATCTACGCCGCGTGCCACCGTGTGCTCCGTGAGGTCCAAGAACGGCAGCTCTTTTTATTGTTGTTGTCCTCAGCGAGATGAATTTGTTTCCTGGAGTGCTTATCTGGACTGAAGCGTCGATTTTGCAGGTCCGTCGGAGGTTACCAGACTTTGCACCTGCCAAAGTGTTGGATTTTGGAGCAGGGCCGAGTTCAGCACTTTGGTGAGCACAGCTCAGTTGGCCCGTTGATATATATTACTGAGAATGTAATTTGTATAAGCTTAACATGGATGAAAAAATGCAGGGCAATGAGGGCAGTGTGGCCAAAGTCTATAGAGAAGGTTAATTTGGTTGAGCCATCCAAAGAGATGCAAAGAGCAGGGAAGAACCTTCTCGATAGTAAGTGTTACTCTTTCTCTTCTAGTCATGATACAATGAATATTTAATAAGATTGATTACTAGGTGGATTTAGAGTAGCATCTGAGTCGCAACCTGCAAATATGCAGGAATATCATATTTAATTTCTCAGTTTGATATCATAAATTCACTAGCCAAGAGCCTGTGCGTTGCAACGGAAAAAATAAGTTTCTAGCTTGTTAAGTTGATTAAACACATATTTAGTCTAAGTAGTACTTTTATGATTTTCATTGAACAAGTAGGTTATTTCAAAATTTGGGAGAGCCAGCAGTGAAACAGGGAGACTCGTTGAAGGGTGGTGGAATAGTATAGACCGTGGGTGTCCCCAAATGTCAGTAGTAGGGGTGGTGTGGCAGAGCAGACACCACCACTACTAACATTTTAAGTAGTATAGATAACCTTATGGCAATAGAGATACTGACTATGTTAATTTAAACCTCGTGTTTTCATAGCATTGGTACTTTGTGTTAGAAGCCTTTTGCTTACCATGTCCATGAATATGTTGACACTCCTGATGTCAAACACTAAGAACTGGTGATGCTCTCAGTGTACAGGCTGTTCTTTTTTTCTGTCGTCATGATTTTTTTTTGCTTTTATTACGAATTAGTTATAAGTATTTCTGATTAATGCTTACTTTAAAAAAGTTTGTAGATTTAAAGGGATACCACATATCTACAATCAACAGAATTTACCAAAAAATATTCATTATATTGTTTTATTTGCAAATGTTTGTAGATTTGAAGGGGTTACCACTTATTCATAGCTATGATAGCATCCAAGAGTTGAACCGCAACATTGAAAAACATGAGCGGCGGCACGATCTTGTAATTTCAGTAAGTTCTTAAGACATGTGGTGTTTCACTGTTTCACAGTGGTGTTTGACTAGTGTAATTTTGAGAAACTACTGCAGATCATAGTGAATTGTTTATCTTCCAACCTTCATTTAATATCTTCTCTCAATTACAGTCTTATGCACTCGGGGAGATTCCTTCTTTGAATGACCGAATAACAATAGTGAGGCAGCTCTGGGACCTAACAGGAGATGTTTTGGTATATACTACCCTTCTCTTGTGTGTTTGTGTGTGTGTGTATGCTTGTACTTATTGGGGATATTTTTATGACTGTTATCTGAAGAAAAGCTATTACCTTTTAGGTTTTGTTAGAGCCTGGAACTCCTCAAGGAGCAAAGATTATAAGCCAAATGCGCTCGTATATCCTTTGGATGGAAAAGAGAGTATGTCTGACTTTTACCACTCATTATATGATTCTTCTAAGATTTTTCGGTGATTTCCTATTTGTATAGCATTATTTACGTACTATCCGTGCTTTCCAGAAGTGCCGCAAAATTGAAAAATCCACACGTGCTGCTCCAAGTGAAATGAAGAGCATTGTATGTCAAGAAGCCTCATTGAAAAATGGTGCTTTTGTGGTTGCCCCGGTAAGCTGAAAATGACAAAAGCTCAAAAGCTTACCTATGCTTCTGTATAAAACTAATTTCACATCATGCATCAGTGTCCTCATGATGGTCGGTGTCCATTGGAGAATACAGATAAATACTGCCACTTTGTTCAGAGATTGGAGAGGACGTCATCACAACGTGCCTACAAGGTTTCCTTTTCATCTATTTCGTGCCATGTGCTATGCTTTTTTTTTTTTTTTTTTTTTTTGTAGTAGGCACTTGTGTTCAACAGTTGAGAAAATGTACATATATCTAAATTACAAGGATTCCTTGAATAATATCATTATCAATTAATTTCTGATGAAGGTGTTGCACTGAGATAGATTTGCATTTTCCCATGTAATTGCTCTTCATATTGGATAGGCTTCTATATGCTCCCACAAATGTGCTGATCTTAGAGTGGTATTTTCACTAGTGAATGGTTGCAAGTCAAACCATTTAATGTGCTTCTAACTTGTGCTTTAACTATTAAAGCTTTTTTTTTTTTGTTAAGATTCAGCCTTATTGAACTCTGTAGATGTTACCCTTTTTTATTTCCCGTTTCTGATGTTTGCTGCAGAGGTCCAATGGTGTGCCTTTGCGTGGTTTTGAGGATGAGAAATTTTGCTACGTTGCTTTAAGAAGGGGCAAGCGGCCAGAGTAAAAGCTCGTGACTTTTTTATATCCAGATTTATCTGATTACTACTTTTCATTCTATGCATTCATTTGCACATGTGCAGCATATGCTCCTGCAACTATATACTTGACTTAATGGCTATTCTTCTGTCTCTAATTTAGGGAAGCTTGGCCACTCGATGGTATGAAATTTGAGACTCTTAAAGAACGCCACGCCAAGAGAAACCCAGAAGATCTCATCATTGACTATGGTGATCATCTACTCGTGATTATTCCTCCAGTTCTTTCTTGGATCATGATTTTGAAAACCATCGTTTTGTTGCTCAGACGAACAATTTCCAAGCGAGGAAGATGAAGAGGCTCCTGTTAACGCTGAGGATTGTTTGGTCCCATACGACTCTGATGCACAAGAACTAGGTTTATTCCATGAGACCGAAGAGGAGTTCGAAGAGCAATCTGTCCGTGCTGATCTAGGAGGAGGCTGGGGCCGGATCATATACAGTCCCATTCGACGAGGAAGGCAGGTACAGCTGGATGTATGCCGTGCCACCAAACGGGATGCATCGGAAGGCGCATTCGAGCGTGTCGTGATCACCCAAAGCAAGAACCCCACCATGCATCATCAAGCCCGGAGGTCACTTTGGGGGGATCTTTGGCCAGTTTAGTCTATGGTGATAACCACATTTCTGTGGAAGATCTGGAGCTCTTCAGCAACGGATTCGCTGGGTGACGCTGCTCATAAATTGTTTGTGGCTGTGCTGTGGGTTTTAATTTTTGCTTCAGCAATACATATCTGTAACAGGTGTACACCTAGTTTCTCAATGAGGAAGATGCGCGTGAATTCTTCTAGGTCAGAACATTTTTTTGGAATAACTCTGAGGGCTGAAAACCAGCAGTACACAGTCGGAAGCCCAGCACCTCAGAAGTGCACCTCAGAAGTATCATTTTAACATGTTCATAACAGTCAATTTCTTAATTAAACAAAGGCAGAATTAGATGGCAAAAGTAAAGTTTCTCAACATGTTATACTACCAGTCTTACAAAAAAAAAAAGAAGTTATACTACCAACACCAGGTTAGCACATGAAGGATTGGTTTACCACAGTCTAAACTTCATTAATTTTTTTCAACTAGCCTAATTTTCCCTTCCCAATTATCGTGCCTAATATTCCCTTCCAATTATGGTCTATCATGTATTCTCTCCGTATCATATTATCAGTTGTTTTTTTTCTAGTCAAATTTTGTTAAGGCCTTGTTTAGATTTAAACTTTTTTCTTCAAACTTCCAACTTTTCCGTCACATCAAATGTTTCGACACATGCATAGAGCATTAAATATGTAAGAATAAAAAAACCAATTGCACAGTTCGCATGTAAATCGCGAGACGAATCGTTTGAGCCTAATTGCACCATGATTTGATAATGTGGTACAACAGTAAATATTTACTAATGACGGATTAATTAGACTTAATAGATTCGTCTCGTAGTTTACAGGGGGAATATGTAATTTGTTTTGTTATTAGTCTACGTTTAATACTTCAAATGTGTATCCGTATACGTCAGAAAAATTTTGGCACACGAACTAAACACAGGCACACAGCCTAATTTTGATTAAATTTATAGAAAAATTTAGCAACATCTAAAATATTAAATTGGTTTCATTAAATTTAATATTAAATATATTTTAATAATATGTTTGTTTTATGTTAAAAAATACTACTATACTTTTTTCTACAAACTTAGTCAAAATTAAAGAAGTTTGATTAGAAAAAAAATCACACGACTTATAATATGAAACGAAAGGATTATTTCAAAAGAAAACTTTATTATTATTACTTTTAACCATGCAATGGAGGCATCTGATGACACTGATAATTAAGCGGAGCCCACTAGTCAGCAAAACCCAAGCCAGATTTTTCCTCCGGTTCTTTCCTTCCGTCCTGGGCGTTCCGTTTTCATCTTCAAAGGCAGACAGATACAACCGTCCATATCGACGCCTCGCCGCCGCCATTGCCTTCGCCGTTTTGCACAGCGAAGCATCACGCTCTCCTGTACTCTAGAACCACCTCACAGCACTACGCGAGCTCTCCTTCTCTTCCTCTCGTAGAGAAACGTAGATAAAAATGTAAATATTAGTGAGGAACCTAATATCAAATAAATAGAATGGAAGAGGCTTCGAACCCAAACTGAGCTAGCCCACCTCCTTTTGGAGCTAGCCGGGAGAATCCTAGACGTTTCTCAAGAAGCATAGATCCATCTGTAGTTCCACACCACTATTTGATTATCATGGTAAGTCTTCCCCTGTGCAATATTATCTTCTTCCAGTCCGGCCAAATCCCTCTGCGCTCGTCTCCTTTGTTTGATTAATTCACAGTACAGCTCAATGCTATATATCACTTCTAGTACTTACTACAGTAATCCATTATCCATTACCAGATTAATCTGAAATGGCTGCATCAACGCGCGCTGCTGTTTTGGGTAGCACGGAGACGTTCAGGTTCTGCATTGACAGGGGCGGCACATTCACCAACATCCACACCGAGCTGCCCGGAAGGAGGGAAGGCTACGAGAATGAAGCTTCTCTCCGTCGACCCGTCCAACTACGAGTCTACGACGACGCCCCCATCGAAGGGATCAGGAGGATCCTGGAGGAGTTCTCCGGCGAGAAGATTTGAATAGCCGTGTTTACGGTTACAAGAAAATCGATTGATGTGTTAGTCAATCTATGTTAGCATGGATATTATGGCTTTGTTTAGTCATGGATATTTGGTAAATATTTATATAGGCAATGATGGCCCATGGATGTTGTTTAGAACACTCGTGTTCATTTACATTTAAAATTCAGATTTATATGCTTACTGTCCTTAATTTCAGATTATAGTGTACGTTCTACAAATCCTTATGATTTAACTTACTATTTACTCAACAAAATTAACTTTATGCAAAACTGAACTACTTAGCTATTTTCATTGATATATGTAGAAATTTGCATTCTCCTATGTACAATCATATATTGTGTTAGTCTTGCGGAGTAACCTTTCGTACTCATATTGCTATTTTTAGGTGAGGACGATGGTGTTGATGATGTGCTCTACTACTATCCCACATGTCATACTTCTCCCTCAACCCAATCCCTCCTCAATTGCTCTCTCTCTCTCTCTCTCTCGGGCGGCTGGCTGTGCCGATGGAGGTGGACCGGGCGGCCGGCGATGGAGGTGGAGCTCGCCCGGGCGGCCGATGGCGGTAGTGGAGGCAGAGGCGGACCGGGCGGCCGGTGGCGGAGGAGGAGCTTGCCCGTGCAGTGGGCGAAAGAAGCGGAGCTCGCTTGGGCGGCCGGTGGCGGAGATGGAGTTGGACCGGCGACCGGCGGCGGAGATGGAGTTCGACCGGTGACTGGCGGCGGAGGCGGAGCTCACCCGGGCAGCAGGCGACTAAGGCGGAGGCGGACAGGGCAGCCGGTGACGGAGGCAGAGCTCGCCTGGGCGGCGGGCGTGTGAGGCGAAGCTCGCTCTGGTGGCCGGCGGCTGAGGCGGAGCTCGCCTGGCTGCCTCCCCGCCACGCCCCCGAGCCCCAGCAGCAGAGAGCTCGCCCTCGCGCGAATGTGGCGGCTACGGTGGCGGCCCTCCCCGCTGCTGCACTGCAGGAAAGGGGGAATCGACAAAGAAGGAGAGGGGAAAGGGGAGGAACGGCGGTGGTGGCCCTCCACGCTGCCATCCGCCTTCGGCGCAGCTCTATCTCTCCCGGCAACACCGCCGCAATGCCTTCCGGCCGCCGCCCGCCCTCCCCACCGCGCTCCTAGCGTTAGAGATTGGAGATATAATTGGAGTATATGACAATTGGGCCTATAGCTTTTTATTATTTTTTTCTAATTGAATTGCCATGTTGATGCCACGTGTATGTCACGTAGGTCCAAAACCGCTCCGGATTGAGCTAAGGGGGTAATTTGTCCGGTTTCAATAGTTTGAGGTGTCAAATGTCCGGTTCTGTGGTTCAGGGGGGTAATTCGTACCGTCGCTAATGTTTAGGGGTGTAATTCATACTTTTTCATATAAAATATGTATCTTGTTGTCCTTTTATCCAAATCTATTTTATCTTGTCATTGATTTTTAACGGCAGATGGTGGCCACGCATGCATGATTCATGGAGATCACTAACCGAGTTAAACAAGAACGAGGCGAAAGCTGAGTATACAATAGCATCGTGTGTGCGCTCAATTGATGTTCATTCATAGCAAAACTTAACGTGTGATAATATCTTGTTTCACCTAAATTTTGTAGGCTGTGGTCAAACATCCGTTCGTCGTCTGACCGGCCGCCTCGCTGTAAATACAAAGCGCCAGAGCGAGACTGCTTGCATGCACGTACGAGATGCCGAACAACTAATTAGCTGCGGCAGACGCGCTGGGCTAGATCGCCCCCCAACCGAATGGATCAGCTCGATTAGAAACAGTCTGTCCAAGAACATCTCCTTTCATTTAGTACTCTTTTCTTTCTGGAAACAAACATCTTTATTATTAATGAAAATAAATTACTAGCTAATACATATAATAATACCATTCCAGTGAATTTATAAAAGCCTAATAAATGAATTAACTGCTAAAAGAAATTGATTCGCCGAACATGGACACCATGCGTTATCAAGATGTACGTACGTACTAAGGCATGACTTGGAACAAATTAAACTGTGCTAATTAGGCTAGAAAGTATGAGAAAAGCCTTTTGAACCCCCCCTTGATACCGAGACATGGCTGAGACTCCATAGCTATATCAGACGCTGCCTGCAGCGACCTCTTGTGGAGGCGCTTGCAGGTGTCGTCATCGCAGGGGCAAAACACCCCTAGGTCGTTCAGGCCAATGCGATGGATGGCCGGTTTGTTCACCACCTTGATGTCGCAACAGAGGATGATGGAGTCGTCATCCTCCCCGACATACTTGTTCTGCAGCGTCTCCATCTCGTCCCTGCTGATGAACCAGTTGAACCCGCACTTGCTGTTGCGGCGCGCGCTCCCGAACGTGTGCATGATCTCCGGTTTGCTGTACGGGAGCGTACCGCTGTCCGCGCCATGCCGCGGCAGCAGGCTGAATTGGATCTCGGCATCCACGCCCTTGGACCTGTCGATGAGCTTGAGGTAGAAGGAGAAGGCGCCATGGTCCATGCTGTACTTGCCGTTGGGGTAGAAGACAATGCGCCAGGTGTGACCGGCCGCCTTGAACTTGGCCGACTCGACGCGTTCGCCATTATCGACCAGCCTTGTCTGCGAGTAGCCGCTGATCTTGAGAAGGTGGCACCCCACCGTCGCCGTCAGGACGATGGCCGACACGGTGGGTGCAGTCGCCGTAACACCTGCTTCGATCGACATGTTAATGATACAAATTGCAACTATATATCTAATATTTCGAGAGAGTGGTGGTAGAGGCCGATATCGATCGAGCGAGGACGCAAATGCTATAGCTCTAGTGAGTGAAAGCTTGGCAATATTTATAAGGGGCATTTGCAAATTTGCCACCGGTTTTTTTGAATATTGCAAGGATACCACTCGAATGACAGTTCTAGTGGCATTTTTGTAATTTTCTAGTGGCAGTTTTGTAATAACGATTCAAAGTAGTGGTAAATTTGCAATTGCCCCTATTTAGGGAATGAAAATGGTGACTTTCATAACTGCCATGCATGCATGGTAACCATATCTGATCCGCTCCTAATGCTCCACCGTACCATAATTCAGATATCTTCACACGCAGTTGTTAGCTGGATACTCATCTTTTCGCGCATGCAATCAGTTAAGACTTACTTGATCTCCGTGATCAGTATATGCTGCTTGACTTGTTGCCATGCGTACTTTGACGGCGAAATATTCAAAGCTTGCCCACGCTCACCGGCAGACAGATACTGATCACCGGCGCAATATTGAAAAATTTCGGTAGAATCAATTAAATATTTTATTGTCAAAACTCTTTAGGCATTACCAATGTTTAGTAATAAAACTAAATGTATCCATATGTTTATCAATTTTACTCAAAAATAGTATGGTTGAAAATGATATCAATCTAAATGGGCTCCTAATTTTTTTCATATATGGTTATACAGATATTCTGGTCATGAACCCGATCTTTATTAATTTGGTGTGTTTTTCTATTTTTCTTCTTAAGATAACTACCATATTTATCTATACGGTGCCATTGGACTACAGCACGGCGCAGGTTGATCAAAGTAGCATCTAGGTGGTGGGGCTAGGCTCGGCTGGATGGCCGTGAAGGAAGAGCGATTGAGCCATGTTGCGTGTTAACATGTGGGAGCGAACATGTGGGAGCGAGGACTATAGGGGTATGTGATGTTCAATGGCAGACCATACAGCTCTAGCCAAAGCCGTGCGCTGTGCCTACAAGTTAAAAATCATACCGATCTATTTTTGTTTCCGGTTCCTGATACATTGGTAGTAGAGTATAGTACTCCCTCTGTTTCACAATGTAAGTCATTCTAGCATTTCTCATATTCATACTGATGTTAATATGAATGTGGGAAATGCTAGAATGACTTACATTGTGAAACGGAGGAACTAGTATGCATTCGTAATAAGTATAATATTTTACTAAAAATTATGATATATAAAGTCATATATATTATAGATAGCAAAATCCATTATAGTTTGGATAAATATAAAATCCTAATTATTTTTAATTTAAAGTTTTTAAATTTTTAAATTTTCTTTTAAGAACCAAGGAGTATTTGTAGCACTTTAACAGGCCTAGCAGCACACCTCAGTGCTTAGTCCTACGCGAGAGAAGAGTAGGCGAGCTAGCAGCAACTTGACGCTATACAGCTCTCTCTCTATCCATCGATGAGTAATTGGGAACAAACAGACAACTATTGTTTTTTCTCATATATTCTTGATATGTGTATAAGAGCATAATGTTGAGAGCACATGTGGCCCGAGAAGTAGCGAGAACATTCGTTCTGCTTTAGAGCAGCTGATTTTTTTTTTGTTTTTTTTTCACCCGTAGTAAAATCCTACATTTATATTGAAGTTCTCCAATCAACTCACTGGCAAGCCGCCAGCTTGAGATTAAGTGATTTTCATGGAAAAATATTGAATATCGGTTCTGAACTAGCACTACTAGACATGCACATATAAGTATGTACTTTAGGTATCGGAACAGCTAAACGACACCTATAACGCTATTCCCACCCACTTGAGCGCCCGCGGGGATGGCGAAAGAAAAAACCGGCACCTTTCAATGCAAATAGGTGTTGGTTTTTAAATGGAATCGTCACCTATATTTCCTGCCAGACAAATGTGTCAGTTCCATATAAAATGCGACACCTTTTACATAGGTGACATCAGAGTTGCTGATCGTGGAGTCCAATTAAGAACCGGCTCCCACCCCGGCTACTAGCCGTTAGAGGGTCCAGTTAAAAACCGATACATATTTTTATTTTATCAGAGATAGGTGTCAGTCTTAGTATATAGCATTTCTCCCTCTTCTCGGGCTGATCGAGCAAAGATCAAGAGACATCGCTCTTGTTCTTGCTCGACCAGCTAGAGCAGAGAGGTTTTGCTCTAATTTTTTTGGTTCTGTTGTAGATTGAAGTGTACAAGATTAGCTTTCATTATTTCTCCCTTCGTTTCACCTTGGCTATTGAATTGAATCGTTTGCTATGTACACATGTAATTAATGCACAACTAAAACAAATTATTTGTATTTGTTTTGTAGGGGTAATATTTTTTATCTTTTTTGTGTTTATTTAATTAGATCATTCTCATATTACTACATGCTAATTTTGAAGTGAACTATTGACATGACAGTAGTGACTTTGCACGTATAATTTATTGGTAGGTGCTTCAAATAGTAATTACATTATGGAAGATCTATCAGTTATTTTATTCACACGAGTAAATTTACTTTGTATCATTGAGAGTAATTGACACTAAATAATATTAGTAGGTACCCATTGATTGTAATGGATCTACGATGGGTGTATGACGCGGATCATGACTATGCAATATATTAAGGGAGTAACGTCTCTCATTGCCATGGCGATGAACACAAACTCAGTTAATGCGTCACATTAATTATCTGTGGTGTCTATGTTTTGATTGCAAGAAAGACAGGCAATTTCCAGCGCAACGGGTTCATGCGCAGCGGGTTCATGCTTTGATGGTGGGGCTGAAATATAGTAAATATGTGGGAAATTCCCGGTTTGCAAACCAATTTGTGCCAGTTCATAATTTCATATGGGAAAATAATGCAGATTATTTGTGTCGACGTTTGATGTCGCGATTCCGGTATTTGTATAGTATGGGGATCGTTGGTACTAGGATATATGCGAGATTGTAGTAAAAGAGATAGGGACGAGGATTTTTATATAGATTCGGGCCCCTGAATTGTCAGGTAATAACCCTACTCCTGTTGGCCGAAGGCGGTCGTTGCTCTTTGGATACACCATCAACTTGATCAGCAGCTGCACAGATTGTAAACTCAAGAAAGCCATAACCCTAAAGTATCCGCTTTGTTTGTCCGAAGAAGCTGCAAATTAATGCAAAATGTTACAATGTGGTCATGCAGAAACACAAGCTTCGCATTATAGCTGTTGTCATTCATTCATTATCATCAGATTCAGAGCAACGGCATTATGTATATTGAGACAAAAACTGAGCTGCACAAATCGCATTGAGCAGCTATGTAACTATTACATGGTCTGCAAACTTAGCACCCATGTGGAAAAATAAATAAGTAGAGACAATCAAAAGAAACCTTCCATAGTCAATACACAAAATAAAGTAACATGTTCATAATTTCATATTCCATGGGCACAGCTCTAGAAGAGCACTTCTGAAATCGGATTAAACAAATATCTGTTGCTGCTGCTAACAGGTACGGTCAACAACTATTTAGTCAAAAGCAAAAGGGTTGATATTCAGTTAAGTGGAACCTGTATCCCTCGCAAAAAAAAAAAAGTGGAACCTGTATCATAAAGAATCATTATTTTTTGCATGTGCATTACCCATATTTATTAAGTAAAATATAAAATGCAGCTATTGAATTGCAGTGCGATAAGATTTTGACGATAATGTATTGCTCCGATAGAAATGTATTTCCAATCAGAATTTCTCCTGTTGGAATTTAATTGAGATACATGCTTAAAAAGTTATATAGTCACATCCAAAGTTTAGTGATAACGATAATATAATCATGCGTTCAAACACTTTAGAAATCTCAAAACATAGATGATGTATATGCATAAATTGAGCTGTAAGAAGCATGGATGAACAGTGATCTATAAAGAAAATTTTGAAACTGGTTATATATGATACTTGTGAGATGCTTAGCAAATAATGCCTGCCAAGAAAAATATATCCTAAAAATGAGTAAATAAATGAACATAGCGAGACGAGAGGGACCATTTGACGTAAACATTTGGGGTTAAGCAAAGTCAAGGAACCTATGATGATTAAGCCAAAGTTGAAATGGTTAATGTAACAATCGAAGCATTGTATAGTAAGCAAGCCCTAAGCCCAAACCCTAGGTAAACAAATCGATTTTAGTGGCATTTGTAATAAGCCAAAGGGACTAGGTTACAAACCATCCTAGGAGACGACAAATCTGATAGCAATGACAGGATAGGACGAGTCGACATCCACATTCACGAACTCTTCTTCCTCCTCCTCCGCGGGCTTCCCCTGGGACGGGGAGGAGGCGACATGCTCCTCCTTGGGGATCGGCATGTCATCGTTGCGGTCGAACATGTGCACCATGGTCGTCTCCATGAAGCTGACACGATGGAAGAGCCTATGTGCGCGGTCGTCTCGTCCTCCGTCGACGTCCATGGAGGTGGAGCCTAGGGTTTTGCCGCCGATGTTTTCCTTGGGGAAAGGTGGATGGGGGAGTGGGGCGTGAGATGCGTTGGATGCTCCTTCCCGGCGTCACCTTAGCACGCCGGCGCTAGGGGAGGCGCAGGCTGGATGAAGGGCGGGCGCCGGCGGCGGGGATGTGCGGGCGGGGTGGAGGGCGAACACCGGCGATGTGGAGGCACGTGCGACGGTTTTAATTCATTTTCTGGATTCTACAACTTCAGATTCTCAGAATCAGGATGACAATCTGGACTGTTTGGGAAGCTGGAAATTCTGAGAGAAGCTGCAGCAGAAGTTCCCCCAAACAGGCCTTTTGTCGAAGAGAGGATTGGCGAGGAGCAAGGACGGGAAAGAGTTGTTAATCCGACTCCAATCTGAATCGTTAGATTATTGGGTTGATCTGACGGTAAGAAACTTCTGGTACACTTTTCTGGGTGGATGGATCTAGAAAAGAAACTAGTACTACAGATACAGATGACTTTTTTATTTGAGATAATGCATTCCCCAATAATAAGTATTATAATTACTAGAATCTATTACGGCAGTCAAAAATTATATATATATATATATATATATATATATTATTCATATAACTTTCGATGGAGTTGAGCTTCACATTAGAAGTTGTCACTACTAGAAAAACTATTTTCACAAAGGCTCCTCTTTATTGCACGAGTAATCCACCATAAGAAAATCTTCCTATGCAATACATAAGGGGACAGGGGCTTTTATCTTGGATCGCTATAGAAATATATTCTAGAGGCAGACATCTTAACTAGACAGCTTCTATAGATCGATTTATTTCTAGTTTCAATCGGCTTAAGCAACCACTTCACTTAAGCCTACCTCCTCTATAAATAGACTAGTTTTAGACTTCCTCTAGTAATCCATTATTACATGAGAAAATTCTTTGTATGTCCCTCAATATTGAGCTAACCTCTTATATGCCTATAAGTTTTGCCCAATCCCTACTCCTATGTTTTGATACTGATCCCTACATACCTATTCCGTTACTTTACCATTAATTTTTTTTTAATCAGGCATCCCTCGCCTCTAGGAGGCTGGATCCGGCCGTCTTCCTCCCCAGCAATATTTCCACCTCTGTTTGCTAGCTACACTACGGAGGAGTTTGGATAGAGGGTCGGATCTGAAGGGACACAAATTCCCTCTCTGAGCTATGGCACCACCTCCCTCTCCGAGCTGCGTCGCCATGCTACTTCCCCCACCTACACCGCCACCTAACTCCATGTGATGGCAATGGGCACTGTGATGGCAATGATGATGAGTTCTCCCTTCTTAATTTTTCTCTATATATATATTGTTCTCCTCATCTCCAACATTTCTTTGTTTTCTATATTTGGGAGCATCTGGAGTCAGGCACGACGAGGTCTAGGCAGCCGAGGACTTAAGGCTTTGAGATGGTGTTGGTGTTTAGCTCGATGGCGGCATCCATGAACCTTCAGAAGAAGACAGAGGATCCTTTCCGCATGGTGCTCCTTTGGCCGTAGCCGACAACTTGCATGTGTTGCAGTCGAGCCACCGATTGAACCTACCCCTAAGCGCACTAAGAAGCATGTCACAAGATCGCTCAACATCGCTCGAAAGAAGGAGGGAATTGATCGAGGGAATTGATCAACAAGTTCTAGATGATTATGGCAAGACATTTGCCTAATCGCTTTCTGCATCACAGATATGGATCTTAATGGCTCTCTTTGGTTAGATTCCCCTGCAGGAAACTGTGGTGGCCTAACTTTGTGTTCACCTTTAAATATTTCATTTCGGATGATAAAATGAGTCCATCTAAAATTCGTTCATGGAACATGCGAGTCCTCAGTTCTATGGAACACTGTGAACCTGACATATGGTTTTATTCCACTGTGTTTGATCTCTCTTTTATGTGGTCGGTTGGCCGTTGTGATGCAAATGTTGTATATTGCTAAGTTATGTACCCTTTGGCAAAAGTAGTTGCAAATGATGACTTCTTGCAAAAGTTGATTTGATAAATAAGCCTATGTGACCATAACAATAGAAGCTTAAAAGGAAATGCTAACATTTTCAATGCTATTGAATTAACACAAGTTGACAGATAGCACACCAATTCTTAAATGAGAAGCAAATTTTGAAACTTCAGCAAAGACACCAATTCTTAATAAAGAACATCCTCGAGCAACTATTGCGCAACATTCCAGAACTTCAGCAGAAACTCCAATTCTTAGGAAATCACATCCTCCAATAACAATTACACAAAACCATATGGAAGATTTCCTCTAGTTGGTCCCCTTCCCCTTGGGTACTGAGTAGGACCTGCATATTTTTAGTCCGACTTAAATAAAAGTACTACTATAGAAATATTTACATGCTACAAATATTTTCATAAACTTATTGATTATGTGCACTACAAATACATGCGACATATTATTTCCCAACTCTGCTCAAACATCTATAGTCAAAGAGAATGCATGAACAAGTTCAAGTCATAATTTTGAGCAGAATGTGTTTAGCGACATTGTAATCACTGCAGCAGTAGAATCCAAGTTAAATAACTCATGTCCATGGTTAATACATAGAATCTATTTAACCTATCTATGTTAATACCTCTCAGACATCCATGCATGCTCAAATATTTTACCATCATGGTCAGACAGAATATCAAACAGAAAACACTATGTGCAAGCATGTATGCACCAGTACATTATATATCACATAAAAACTGCCATTTTTCTTGAATTACCTGGAGTTGTCTCCATTGTCCTTCCTTTCACAGACCTATCCGTTCCTGTATATGTCAATAAACTTGTGTGTCAATAAGTTGAGTACCACTAAGTACTCTACTTATTTAACATTAAAGTTATTCTTTAAAGCTTTAGTTTAGTACACATTAGTGCAAATAGGTTTTTTTCTGTTGAGAAAATAGAGTTCTTTTTACCATGACAATTATGTTTCCCGAGAAGCAATATTTGAGTTAAATTTTAGCACATGACTTAAAAGCTTGGTAACAAAAATAAGATATGTACACATAAAAGAGAAAAGGTTGACTTCATACATACCTTGACCTTGCAGATTATGATCAGAGGATTTCTGCATATGGATACACATATAAATATGTCAATATGTTTTCCAAAAAATAAATCATATATACTCTCTATATGATACTATATATTGAATAAAATGTTCTAGTTGTATATAAGGTATGGTGTCACAAATGATGCATACGAAAAATAGGCATTAATTCAAAATCGTTCACCCTCTTGACCAATGTTATAATTTATCAGTTCTTAATTCTCTTACCATTTACTAAATTTCTATAGTAATGACCCTGGACTGAACCACAAGAAAGTAATATAAACTGAAATTATTCTATTTTGTCCCCAAACAAATTTAAACCATATACCTCTGATCTTATAAAATATACACCAACCTTTATTTTACTCCCACCGTTATCTTGTCGAGTTCTCTTCCCAACATTCTTGCTTGTATTCTTGACTGAATTCATGGATTTTGTTTCAATAGTTTCCAGTTCCTCGGGTACATCCTTGGTAGCCTTGGCTAGAATTTCCACTTTGTCAGGTTCATCTTGCTTTCCTAGATTAAGCATGCTTGATGATTCTAGCACAGAATGATCAACATGATCATTCTTTGTTGTCACCACAAAACTATCTTGTTTTCCCTAGGCAAACACAATTGAGGAATCAAATTTAAATTCATTGATCTGAGAATATTTTTGGATCTCCAAGTTAAACGCTCAATACCACTCACAGATACATATGGTGTAACTACCATTTCAACATGAGAGAGACTTACCTTCAAATGCTCCATTGATTCTTTTGTATCCTCCGATGAGTTGCTAGGGCCCATGGTATTTTTGCCCATAGCTTCCCTCTAGATCTGTTTTGTTAGAGTTGAGGAAGAAGAAATAAGAGATGAAGGAGAAAGTTGAGTTTTTTTTTCTTTCTTATACGATATATATGGACATATGCGGGGCAGGGGATGTATGTATAAAGGCGTGAGCATGTGTACTATCAAAACTATGGGCGACTCCTGGTTTACCTCAAAACAGTGTGCTAATTAAAACAAGCGATCTATGTCCGGTTTTGTGAGCCGACGGTAGAATTCTATCAGAAAATGGTCCGTCGTGGGCTTGGTAGTAATTGGGCCCAAATCTAACATACCTCTTGCTCCGTAGCCTTTGCTAGTATCCTTGTGAAAAACGAGGCATTTGTTGAAATGTATCATTTTCTAAATGAAGGTCCATTCTTGATTTCTACAAAAACAACTTCTGCAAATCATGATAACACCCTCCGTGTTATCCGTTGTTCTTGGTAGTGTTATAGATTAGATAATTAACGATAGCTTTGAGAATAACTGGGGTCACTTGTGTAAGCATCTATCGTTGATAAAAATCTTAACAATAAGAAACTTATATACCTAGGTCTTGTGTCCTGTTTGCATCTCATCTCTCCTAGGGATGCTAGTTAGACTCATGATAATTATCATACAGGTTCAGGCTCTCTTCGGAGTAATAACACTAACATCTTGTTGACTGGGTGGATGGTTTTTTATTGATATATATAGAGAATATTAATACAAATGGGGTATGTATGCATATCCTCTAATCTCATAAGGAACACAGATGAGATGGTTGGTAGATAACCGGATGGCTCTTGACAGAACTAAGGCTTGACCTCGGCAGGGCTCCATCGGGTCGTGGCTTTCCTCTCGTTGTTTGTTCCTCTATTGGCTTACCTGGCTCTCTAATGGAGTTGTATTTGTACTCCAGGTCCCCTTGTATCCTAGGAGGACTCAGAGGTATTTTTTGTGGCCTTTGGTCTAGTCCTAGCAGAGACCAACAAGGTTTCTAGCAGTCTTTCCAAAGTGTGTCTTGATTTTATTATGTGATCGAAATGTGATTCCTAATTAGGGGTAACCTTCTCGTAGATGAAATTCTATGTGATTATTTGGCATTTCCAATATTGACACAGGAGCCCAAAATATTGTCCAAACGAGTAGCAATTACATAGTTTCTGTCGATGTTTGATATCGCGATTACGGAATTTGCATAGTATGGAGATCATTGGTATCAGGGTATATGCGAAATTGAGGTAAAAGAGATGGATATAGGGATTTTTATACAGATTCAGACCCCTTATCTGACAGGTAATAGCCCTACTCCTGTTGGCCGAAGCCGGTGTTGCTCTTATTCATCATAATCACACCAGCACAATAATTGAGATAACTTATCTAGCTGTCATCGACTTGGTGGCATGGATAACCAACACATAGTCAATGACAGGGTAATCTTCTGTAACACCCTGAAAATTTCAGTCTTGAATTGCGAAATTAAAATTTCGTAATAATTAAAAATCTTTTCCAAAATCCATCATGCTGGCTTTTATTGGATTTTATCTTCCATTTTTCGGTTGCGCTTGGACCACGAGGATGGAAATCTAGGAACCAAATCTATTTTAGATTCAAATACTATTTGTTAAAAGAACCATGATTATGAAATATATTTTAATTAAGAAAATATTTGCAAATACCATTTATCTTTCGGAAAACCCTTTCCTATGAAATAGAACCTATTCGATGTATTTGTTTTATAAATAAAAACAAATACTAAATATTTAGAAAACATACTTTGAGAGATATTTCTCAGAGAAAACTATTTTTACAAATGAGGGCTAATATTAGTTAACCTCTGAAAACCCTATTTTGAAAGTATAAGTGTTTGGGAATTATTTTACAAATAAAGACTAGAAGGAATTTACTAGCAAAACTCTATTTACGAACTAAAATCTTAAAAGAGCATATTTCAAAAGAATTCATGAAAAAGTCTAGTTTTCCTCCGTGAAAGGCCTAGCCGACCTGCATAATGGGATTTGTGTTATTTGTGTGCATTTAATTGTTTATGCCAAAGATCTCGGTTAATTCATCCTTGTGAATCTCAATCCTTGTTGTAATTCCTCCAGGTTCGAATTCCGCAGTTCAATCCTCCCCCTAAGTTAAAACCCTCCCCGAGCAAATCATTCGGACAAATCGATCCACCTAAAGGATGCACTCCAATCGGCATCCTTCTTGGACCTCTCTTCTCTTCGTCTGATTCGTCAAGCATTTCGATGCGAAGCTAATCAAAGCCTGAAAACCTTTCCTTTGTCATAACATCGTTTCCTTCCTCGGACCAATTGAACTTTAGAGATGAACCTAAGCCCACTTCATCTTTTCAACTCGGTCTCCCTCGGGTTCCATTCTACCCTATTCCTTCAACTTAAAATCCCCGAGTTCGGCCATTCGCTTGAAACTCTAAAATCGCTCGATGGATTTAATTGTCGTGCGTCGACCCATATATTCTCGACTCTACTTCTACCTTTGAACCCCACCGCGACAAATGGATTTGTATGCCATACGCCGCACCTAAACCTATTGTCTATATCGCCCTACCTTTGGAACCCTACCGCGTCCGATGGATTTGTATGCCAAGCGTCGCTTCTAAAGCCCCTCGGCATTGTTGTCTTTCGTTCGCTCGAGCGATCGCAAAGAAATCCTAAGAAGTACGTGGACGACTGAGCGGCCAAACCGAATCCCATTCAAATACCCCAATTAAACAGTTCTTGTACAGTTCCAAACCCCAATTCCAGATTTCAATCCAGAGCCAAAGCAAATGTCCAATTATGCACTCCCATTACATATTTGTAGTCCATTTACAAGTGTCAGATACAATTTCCAATTACATCTGGAATCTACAAATTCCATTTACAGTTCTACAAAACATTGCTATTACAGTTGGGCCACCATCCTCTCTGCCAGCCCAAGTCTATTCTTCCTCCCCCGCAGGCCCATCCCTTCTGCAGCCTAAAAGTCTAATTCACTTCCTTTTGCCCAGCCGGCTGCACATGCACACCACCTGCTCGACAAAATGTCAAGCCAGGCTAGTGGCATGCCGAGCCAGGCAGGTTGATGCGCCGCCCCAACCTGTCCTGCAACGCAGGCACGCCGCGCACCGCGTCAACCTCGTCGCCACCCCATCCTCTCACCAAGCAGCAAGGTCGCTCGTTTCCCTCCTGCACCATGCTCCCAGTCCACCGGAGCCCTCCCCCATGAAAACTGGCGATAGTGAGAAGGGTTCACGCCAAAAGAAAGAGCTGAGTCCACACCGAACTGGAGAGGAAGTTTTCAGTGAGGCTTACCTTGCAAGCCTCCTTCTGTAGAGGATGTCGACATCCTGGCCCACCTCATCGCCGTCCATCCCATCCGCCGCCGACACGTGCTCGGGGGAAACCTTGTGACCGATGGTCACAACGCTGCCTCCCCAAACCATCGCCCGAGTGTGCGCCGCTACGCCCCATCCACACCGCTCGACCTCATCCTCCACTGCTCACAGTCTTGCGTCCACGCCGCCCGCGTGAGCCGTGTATACACCACCGATTTGACATCCCGGCCCACGACTTAATAGGATTAATAGAATATTATATCAACAAGTTACAACTTCTTTTCCGGAAACTGATCTCGAAAGAACTCTAAGGTTAAGCATGCTTGGCCTAGAGCAATTTAGCCCCCGACTTCAATGCAAATGAACTCGTGTTCTCGACCGAAGACCTTTGAAAAACTGTCGTCATGCTCACTTGACCGTTCTCAGTGAGATTAGAGATAGCGCTATATTCCCTTTATCGGCCTCCGCAGGCACTATATTGGGTTTGTCAAGGTTAATCTCCGATGTCGACCGAGAAGGTACGGAGCATGCGACTAAGTCTCCCGTCGCTATATTCCCTTTACCGGCCTCCGCAGGCACTATATTGGGTTTGTCTAGGTTAATCTCCGATGTCGACCGAGAAGGTACGGAGCATGCGACTAAGTCTCCCGTCTTGCTGTAATCAAGAATTTGGATTGAAGCCAAGAAATTCCATCTCGGCAGGTACACCATCGCTTCATTCCATATTCCTTGTCGAAATCCAACGACCGTTCTCGGGTAATCGAGAGGGTGTAGAGTTTGCGACAAAGCCTTCAACTGAAATAAACTCATGGTGTCATCTGCGACTTCTCTTGTCAACATTTGTCGTACTCGCTTAGTCGAATCCCGGTGTAAGACCGTAGAGACATGGAGTGTTCGACAGTGTTGAATGGAACTTTCCTAAAATCAATACTCAGAACAGAATATTAAATAGAAATAGCCCCCGAGCGAACGCTCAAAGGGTAACATGTTATAATATGTATGGAAAAATTGAAAATAAATTGAATCTGCGTGTGACAACAAAAGAGTACTCTCGCAAGAGTTGCCCTCAGCAAACGGAGTTTGGAACTCTTCCTAGCCCCCAGCTGTTTTTATTGAAAAGCCATTTTCCACAAAGGCAGCTTAAATCTTATAACAAACCATGCTGAAGCTGACAAATCCTAGCCCCCAGCCGTGAAGTTGGAAAAGTCAATTTCCGATTACATGGCTTGGTTAATACACGTCCATTGAGCACTCTTACATGACCAGATTTGACATGGTCGTTCGGCTCTTAGCATCCAACAAAGCCTTATCCGCTCTGGGCGTCCCCAGCCGAAATTCCCTTAGGTCTCTCGGAGGCTTGTCAGAACAGGGGATCAACGGATAAATATTGCACATATAAACACTTACAGGAATTGATGTAGATGATGAGATGACCACCACGCTGGGCAAAGACCAGGTGTATAGTTGTACTCAACAAATCGCAGAGGTAGTGGGAGAATCACTACAACGTTGGTCGAAGACTAGTCGTAGTCTTAACTCGACCATTGGAAGTCATGGTACGAGGATCGCTATGTTGCTGGTGAAAGACCAGTCATAGTCGTAACTCGACCATTGGAAGTCGTGGTACGAGAATCGCTACGTTGCTGGTGGATGACCAGTCGTAGTCGTAACTCGACCATTGGAAGTCATGGTACGAGGATCGCTACGTTGCTGACCAGTCGTAGTCGTACCTCGACCATTAAAAGTCGTGGTACGAGGATCGCTACGTTGCTGGTGGAAAACCAGTCGTAGTCGTACCTCTACCATTAGAAGTTGTGGTACGAGGATTGCTACGTTGCTGGTTGGAGACCAGTCATAGTCGTACCTCGGCCACCTGAACGGAATCCAGAGTAATAGATGGATGGCGTCCTCGCAACTTGCGAGAACTGCCTCCTGACCACGACGAAGATGATGAGGAATTATTGTAGTCGGAGGTTCAGCTCCTGGACCTACGGCCCCGTCCTCGGTCCCTCTAGAGGTCTGGGGATCTCAAGTTTCGTCATCACCGTGTGATGTCGTTAACCTTGTCCGTTGTCGCCCCGATCTAGTCAATCCTAGACGTTATCATCCTGGTGACAACAGCAATCTAGTCGGTCTTGGTTGTCGCTATCACAACATCACACGACGACGATAGAATTTGCATAGTATGGGGATCGTTGGTACCAAGGTACATGCGAGAATGAGGTAAAAGAGATGGAAACAAGTATGGATACGATCTGAATAGTCCTTATAGTTTCCATATAGAACTCTATTTGTCCTTCCTTATCCAGAACTCTTTCTATATATGAGGTATGATTTCGTATAAGACTTGGTATGTGGTGGGCCATTGTCACGCCCGGAATTTCTATCCAAAATTCCAAACGCTTACATGTGTGTTAAACCCTCGTCCAGGAATCAACCGAGGCACACAATGACAAATTAATAATAGAGTACAAATAAATAACTATTTAATATTCGCAAATAATAAAAGATTACAGAGGTAGATAGTTCCTCTCAAAGAATAACATTCTACGCAGCGGAAAAATAAAACGATAACAAACTACGGAACAGCTATGGCGACTCCACTCCACAGGTATCTTAACCAAGAACAAGCCTAATCCTCCAGATCATCACCTTCACTGAGATACTCCTCTTCTGATGAATGAATATTGCAAGAATGAGCATATGACATACTCAACAAGTCACACAGCAAATATGCAAGTGCACAGGATAACAAAGGATGGCATAATATAGCTCATTTGCAAAAATAGCATTTAATAAATATTTAAGAGAATAGTAAAACAGTTGAATAATTAATCAATATTAAATAACACCATACAACACACCCATGTTGCATAGGCCCAACCACATTTGAACAACCAACCCCAGTTGAACAAATTAAACCTCCAAACCAGGAATTATCCATTCCAAACCAGGAGTCAAATTAATTATCACATTATTAACATTGATGAGTAGTGTGAGACTAATCACGAAAAACATTGCTCAACTCACCCATAACCGCGGGTACGGCTATTCGAATAGTTTAAACTCTGATCAGAGGTGTACCACTGTACCCACAAGACACAACCCCACATCATGTCACCATGTGCCTCAATACCACCACGGTACCTCAGAAAGGAGTTGTGACAATACCCCTCGCACAACATAACCCATTACAGCGCACCTTTCCTGGATCATAATCACCCCCTTATAAACAAGGCATGGACTCCCCAGCGACCCCCGTGGACTTCTCGCCACTTCTCAGTCTGGCGCACTATAATGAATCACGTTATACAAAAGATAAAGCCGTTGCCCACGCTGGCTTGTGGCTGGCACGATAAATGTTTCACAACAGTAGCTCGCGAACCGGTCCTTAATTGTCATGAGCACAACCATCAAAACCATATGCTCACAACCCACCTTAACCAGGTTTTAATTATCAATTAATTAACATCACACGATTAACCATCGTGAGCTACCATTTAATAACCATAATTAATAATAATAATATAACATAGTTTATAATTAATCCCTTTAATTAGCTATGTTTCTAGGCATGGCTAAGCAAACTTACAAATAGCGTTTAGCTGAACCAATCCAATATATAAGGTTCATGCTAATCAAATTATAACCCATAGGAAAATAAAGTCATCTTCGGCCAATAATTAACTGGGAAAGGTTCACCACCCGATGACATTCGAAAACAATGCATAGTTGAAATAAAACATTAGCTTTAAATGGGTTCAACATGCTCAAAGGGTTGTTTGGGATCTGTGTGACTTGCCTTGGGCTTCCGCAAACGCTTCGGAACCTTCCTCAACGGAAACGCTCTCCTCCGGAACGTCGGAAACTAAAGCAATTAAACAAAAATCAACAAAACAGTACAAAAACAAGCATAAACAGTACATGTGAATATTTTTAACATGTAGATCTTGATTTTAGAAAAATTTAGCAACTTGAACCACCTGAAACGGATCTACGGTTATTTAGTTATGATTTTCCGAAGTTTTAATCTATTAGAAAATCGGGAAAAAGAAAAACCCTGATGACGTCAGCATGACGTCACCCCACGGCAGCCGGCTAGGGTTAGCAAGCTCGCCGGAGATAGGGACCTTGGCCGGGTGATTGGAGGACACCTACGCGTAGAGGACGACGAGGCGAACCCAACGGTACTCACCACAACGTCTACCGATGACCGACGACGACCGGCGACGAAGAGGACGGCGGCGGCGGTTCGGCTTGACGGCGACGGCGGAGCTCCGGTGGTCGGCGGCGAAGGGGGACGGGCGGCCGAGGTTCTCCTCACCACGGCGCACCTAACGGCGGCGGCGGCAAGCGGCGGCGACGGCACAAGCGGCGGCGCGGCGCGGCTGAAGACGGCCGGCGGCGGCGGCGGACTAAACGCGTGCGGCGGCGGCGCTACGGAGCATGGGAGAGGACAGGAGATGGGGCAAACGAAAGAGGACGACGAGGTGATCCTATTTATAGCATTGGATTGAAGAGATCGAACTCCTCCCGCAAGAAATCGATCCGAGAAAATCAAAACTCGGTTTCGGAGATAAACTCGAAAACGAGTTTGATTCGGACAAGATACTCAACGATTTGCTCCAAATCTTGGGGGAAAAGATAGAGGAGAACGAGAGGATCAAAACCCCTCAAAAACCCGGAGGAATCGGGGTCGGATTGGAGTGGATTTGAGAGGAGAAAGGAGGCGGCTCAGGCGGCAAACGGCGACCGGCCGGAGGTAGAAGACACCTCCGACATGTGGGCCCCACATGTCGGCGGCTGGAGGAGAAGGGGCGGCGGCTGAGCTGGGCCGGCTTGGGCCGCGCGGGAGAGAGAGAGTATTGGGCCGAATTCAGCCCAACGGCTTAGGGAGGGCTTTTTTGAACTTTTTTGAATAAAATAATTTGTGAAATGTTGTTTCAATTATTAAAAATACTTCCCTTGCTCAAATAATTCCCAGAAAAATCTAGAAAATAGAGGAACAAGCATAGTATTTAATAAAATTTTATCTAGCTTATTTTTATGTTGAAAATTTTCCTAGAAAATTAGGGTTTAGCTTGTAGGCTTTTAAAATAATTTCTAAAAATGATTTAAAATATGCATTTTTAATTTAGTCGATTTTTAGGGCGTGACAGCCATGCCGAGCTTAGTCAACTACTATTAGGTATGTGGTATCCATAACCCTGACAGTTTGTTA